TGGAAGGTCAGATAAAGAGCTTTACAGATAAGGAAAAGCTAAAGGAGTTCATCACCACCAAACCAATATTATATGAAATGCTGAAAGGTATCCTTTAAGAAGAAGAGGAAGAAGAAGAAAAAGGTAAAGATACTAATTATGAACAACAAATATGCATCTATCAACAAGTGAATCTAAGAATCAAGTGAATAAATAATCTGATCAACAGAATGAACTGGTGATTATAATAGAATCAGGGACATAGAAAGGGAATGGACTCACTATTCTTGGGGGGGAAAGGGGTGTGGGAGATGCAGAAAGAGTCTGGACAAAAATCGTGCACCTATGGATGAGGACAGGGGGTAGGGACTGAGGGCGGAGGGTGGGGTGGGAACTGGAAGGAGGGGAGTTATGGGGGGGAAAAAGAGGAACAAATGTAATAATCTGAACAATAAAGATTTAATTATTTTAAAAAAAGACACTATTGCTTTGTAGTTGTGGGATTGGAAGCCCCATGGGTCTCACCACGCTGAAGTCAAGCCTGCTGCCTTCTGGGCCAGAGACAGCGTCTCCGCCTTTCCCAGCCCCGGGAGCTACCTGCGCCCTCGGCTCCGCCGCTCAGGCCACAGTGGCGTCGCTCCCCCCTTGCTTCCCTTGTCTCCTTCTCTGGCTCGCCGGATAATCCAGGGTCATCTCCCCACCCAAGACCCTCGACATCGGAAAATTCCCAGGTCCCGGGATGAGCACGTGATACTCCTGCGGGCCGGGCGTCATCCTGCCTTCCGCCTGCAAGCGAAGGCGCTGTGCTGTCAGTAGGAGGCAGGCAGCCGTGCCCGCTCCGCTCTGGGGAGTACGACTCCTGCTTTATTTCCTAGCCTCGTCCTCCGAGGGACCCGGAGCTAACGAGCTGAAGAAGCGCAGGCACCGCTCACGCTCGTCAGCACTCCGTCGCTGGTGCTTGGTTATTTTTACTTTAAGATGAGGGCTGGGGAGTATGTTGTGGCTGCTACACATCTGAGCAGAGACGTCATGCCCTGGGGACAGGAGGTGCTGCCTCTTGAGCTTTGAAATATGTGCACACATTGCTCATGGTTATATATCAAGATATAGAAGATGATACTTTTGATTAAGAAAAAGATGTCTCCAAAATTATGCTCTATATGCTCTGGACCAGTATGTCTCAACCTGGGCGGTTTGCCTCCTGGAAGTGTTTGGCAATGGCTTTGATTGTCACAACTGGGTGCGGGGGGAGGGGTCCTCCTGGCATCTAGTGGGTTGAGGCCAGGGATGCTGCTGAACATCCTCCAGTGCCCAGGGCAGCCCTCCTGCGACAAGGAATGGTCAGGAGGGCCAAGCTCGAGACGCCTTCAGAACACAATGCCAGGGCAGGGCAGTGCACAGGGGGGCCGGTGGCTGCGGGTCTGCCTAGGAGCAGCAATGGGCGGGTGAGCTCCAAGAGCTGAGACCGGCGGGGGAGCTGGCTCGCTCTCCATGTACCCCACGGTGGCTGGAGGCTGAGATGAGCAGACCCGTGCCACCCACACCTCCCAGACAGTGGAACCTGGGCATGGACAGAAGAGACACAAGAGAACCCCGAAGGAAGTCAACGCTGAGCAGACGTACAAACAGCCTGAGTGTGCCCCAGCCCACTCGGATCCTCCAGCAGGAAATGGGAGCCTTACCAATGGTCAGAGGTATCTGACCACAATCCCAATCGGTGATTGGCTGGCCGCTGAGCTATGCAAACAGGGAAGTGACCCCTAGGAGGCTGCTAAGCTTAAAAATAAACAAGAAACACGCACGCACACAAAACTAAGCAGAGATATCAGCTGCAGGTTGTGGGGGAGGCAGGATTCACAGAAATAGTGCAGGCAAGTTACTAAACAGAACAACAGGCCTTGGGGAGAAGTCACACATGACAAGCTCCAGGGTGGACCTATGCTAGGCCACAAAGCAGGTCACAGTACATTCTAAAATATTGAATTCATATAAAGTATGTTCTCTGGCCATAACAGAGTGAAATTAGAGATGCCTACCAGAAAGAACCTGGAAACAACCCAAATATTGAGAAGTTAACACACTTCTAAACTCAGGAGTCAACAACTCACAAGAGGGATTTTAAATATTTTAAACTGAATGAAAAGAAAAACAACATGCCCACGCCTGTTGGTGCAGCGGAAGCAGCAGTGCTAGGGGGAATGTGTGCTGTGAGCCTCGGGCCGGAGAGAAGAGGAGCTCCGTCAATAGCCCAACGTTCCACCCGCCGGAGCCAGTGAGGAGAGCACTGAGCTGAGGGCGAGGGAATCTTGGCCATTTAAGTATGTTTTCTTAACGTGTGGCCGAAGGGAATGCAGAAGATAGGCGTAACCTGATCAGCGTGAGATCATCGGAACCAAACAGTCTACTTCCCCGATGAGATCCGCAAAACTGGCAGACACCAAGGAGTCGACGTTGGTAAATAAGACCAAGAAAATAGCAAAGTGAAGCCACAGGTTACCAAGATCAAGGCTGAAAGCAGGGACGTCGCTCCTGGCCATAGAGAAAGGACTATAGGGGAATACTATGGGCAACTTCATGCCAAAGAATTAGCTTAGCTGAAGTGAATACATTCTTAGAAAAACAAATTACCAAAACTAACTCAGTAATAGAAGGGAAATATACCTATAACAAGTCAATAAATTGAATTACTTTAAAATCTCCTGACAAAAGCTCAGGCCCAGATGGAATCATTGGTGAATTCTGTCAAATATTTAGAGAAGCAATGCCAATCCTTCACAAACTCAAAAAGCGTAAGAGTAGAGAACACTTCCAAAATCCTTCTATGAGACCAATGTCACCCTCACACCAAAGCCAGGTCAGGATATTACAGGGAAAAGATAAAAATTACAGACGAGCACTGGCCGGGCGGCACAGCTGGTTGGCGCATTGTCCTACACAACAAAGGTTGCAGGTTTGATCCCCGGTCAGGGCACATGCCTCGGCCGCAGGTACGATCCCCAGTTGGAGCACGTATGGGAGGCAACTGATGGATTTTTTCTCTCACATTGATCTCTCTGTCTCTTCCTCTCGCTAAAAAAACAACCAATAAAAACATATCCTTGGGTAAGGATTACAAGTATAATACATAGAAAATTTAAAATTACAGGCGAATATTCCTCATGAATATAGATGTAAAATCTTTTAACAAAATATTAGCAAGCCAAATGCAGCAATATATAGAAAAGATATACACCATGATCTGGGGGGTGGGGGGGTGGTTATCCTAGGAATGCAAGGTATAACATTTGAAAATCAGATCATGTAATTATGCCACATTAACAGAACAGAAACCATAGGGTTATCCCAATAGGTACAGAACAACATCCTTCAAATCCATGAGAAAATGTTCCAACGCAGTAGGAGTAGAAGGGCTCTTCCTTACCCTGGTAAAGGGTGTTTGTAAAAACCCTACAGGTAACATATTTGATGCTGAAAGACTGAATACTTCCCCCAGCATTGGGCACAGGCATAGATGAAAGATCTTTCTACGTCTACTCAATATTGTCCTGAGATTCTAGCCAGATAAAAAGGAAAAAGGAAAACTCTTTATTCACAGATGACACGATCCTATATGTAGGAAATCTTAAGGAAACCACATACAAAAAATGACTAGAATGAATTTAACCAGGTCACAGGATAAAAGATCAATAAACAAAATCCCTTCACTGTAAACTCTCTGTTGGCGATAGTTTGACTTCTTTCCTGCATGAAGCCAAGAGCCCACAGTGGGTGGTGGACCCTCGGGCCCCCGACCCCGGGCTGCCTGCATCACAGCCACGTCGGGAAACAGTTTGGCAGTTTCTTAGAAATTTAAACATAAACTTATTATTCAACCAAACAATTTAAGTCCTAGGACTGTACCAAGAGAAATGAAACCATACGTTCACACAGAGGACTTGTACGAGAATGTTCCCAGCAGCCTTAGTCATAACAGCCAAACCCAGAAACAACCCAGAAGCCCGCTCACTGGTGACTGGACAGGCAGAATGTGCTACAGCCACACAGTGGACTATTATTTGTCACAAAAAGGAACCAAGTCCTGAAAAAATACTACAATATGGATGAACCTCAAAATGTCACCCTAAGTTAAAAAGGCAGCCACAAAAGACGACTATGTTCCATTTACATGAGCTGTTCCTAAAGGCAACGTTCACACACCTATGGAAAGCACCTCAGTGGGTGCCTGGGGCCGGCCAGGGGCAGGGGTTGACTGTGAAACAGGCCCCCGGAAATTTGGGGGCAACGGACAGATTCTGAAACTGGGTTGCCGTGATGGTTGACAACTCTACATTTACTTAAAATCATTCAATTATTCACTGAAAATGTGTGAATTTTATGGTATGTGATTATAATTCAATAAAAGTATAAAAACGAAAATAATGTCCATGGAAAACATAAATGAAGAACAATGTCAATGCCAGGAGGAAAGGCCCCTTGCAAGTGCTAGTTGCAAAGTTGTGTCCAAGTTCCCTGCGGTGAACGTGAGCGGAGAAGCGCTGCCTGGGAGGGAGGCAGGCCTAGCTCCCCGAGAAGCACGGCTCTCCAGCCACTGCCAGTGTTAGGAGGAGCACTGACCAGTAACCCTAACAGTGTCCTCTGACCCCCACAAGGTAGTTCCCCTTTATGGTCCCTGATAAAAGCTACAGCTATGACGACAGAACACAGCCCGGAGGACGTGTGCTGCGGGGGCCGACGGTGCTGCGCCTGTGCTCTCTGAACGCCCAGCCAGACTCAGAGGGAAGTCCCAGGTAGCAG